CTCGCCTCGCCTCGCCTCGCCTCGCCCCGCTCCGCCCCGTCCCGTCGCGTCCCGTCCCGTCCCGTCCCATCCCGTCCCGTCCCGTCCCGTCCCGTTCCGTCCCGTCACGCTTCGCCTCACCCTTGCCACTATCTCGCCTCGCCGCAAACAGCCCTTGGTTGCTGCCGCTCCGATCTACGACTATCCGTTTTTATTTCACACCACTTTTTTCCTATTTTTCTTTCCATTCTTCAGTTCCTTTATGATTGTATTAGCATTTTCTAATGAACCACTAACTCACTTTATATATTTAAGATAATGCGACACCTCTCGCTGACTCATGTTTACTTCCTTTTTTATCAATAATTTAAATGTGAGAATGTTTACACCGTATTTTCACTTGTCGCACTTCGATTTTCTTCCCACTTTAGAAGTCCTCACGCTGCCTTTACTTTTCTCATGTTTTTATTCATTTTATCGCTTTTCATAATCGACAGACCGTTTTTTCTTGTGTCTCCTCCGTCTTGCCCATTTTTCTGTTTTATCTTAGATGACATTTTCAACTGTTTCGCTTTAATACATCATTCTTCTTTTAATTCCCTTTCTTTCTTTTATATCGGTTTTGTGTTCTCGTCAATACTTGCATATCTGACCTCCATCTGTCAATGTATTTCTCTTGTTCTTTCTTTTTGTCGCCTCTCATTTCATCCTCTCACTGTCCGCCGTGTTAAATATTACATGGTGCAGCAGTCAACCCGTCCACCTTGTCTATAGCCACGCCCTGTTCCTAGCCGTATGCCCGCTAGCGGGGCTCCGATCCGTATTCCTCCGCCCCCTTTCCGGCACGCCTTCCCCATCCTGTCTGCTATCCCCTCGCCTCTCGCCTCGCCCCACCATCTGCGACCTGCCGAGCGTTGGGTCGCGATCGTAAGCAGTGGCTTAACCCTCAAACTGCTTTGAGCTTCAAGGGAAATGAGATGCGAATGTTTTTATCGATATTTTAATAGAGCATTGCTGCATATTTTACTTTTAATTAATGTAACATAAAACATAATGAAAATACTTAATATGTGATTAATTTACAACAATTTTCAGATTGTGTAATGGGGAGTTTATTGTGTAGTCGTTAATCGTGTTAAATGAACATTAAATGACACGTAAGACATGTAGTTAGTGTTGAACTTCGACAAGAATCGAATAACGAGAGAATAACAAGAGTATAGGATACATACTCTTGTATATATCGTATTAAAGCAATACAAAATTGTATTTAAGATACGTTTAGTTTACATTCACGTTTTATTTTTACATTATTGAGAAATGTTAACTACATTTAATTCTTTTTTTTTTTTGTATTTTCAATCACATTCTACATAGCAAAAATCAACGGCGTTTAATAATAAGCCCGGCGCTTCGTAATAAGCCCAGTGGTTAAGACAGTAACGGTAATGGCTCTGACCTTGCCACCCAAAGGTCGGATTGCAGCGCGCGCCTGTGGACCCCGCCCCGGGTCTTATCGTGCTATTGTGCCGTATCTCGCTCCTGTTTGGCAGCGAGTTAGGAATAGCGTCGTTGGCGTGAGAGCGCAGGGTGCGGCCACCTTCCACCTTCCACACTTCACCCTTCTCCGTTCTTCAACTTCCTCCCTCCACCTCTACCCTCCTCAGTCCTCACTCCAGCTTCCTCTCTCTAACTTTCTCACTCCCACCTACCGCCACCCCCCATGGTCTACCTTTTTTCTCGTCCCTCCATCCTCTTCCCTCGACCTCCCATCCTCCCCTTTCTCCTTCCACCTGCCTCCCTCCTCTCTCTTCCCTCACCCTCCTCCCCACCCTCCTCCTCGCACACCCCATCCTACTCTCCAAGTCTCCTACCTCCGTTATCCTCATTCCTCACCCTTTCTCCCTTCTCCCTCCACCCTCCTTCCAACCTCCTCTATTCTCCCCACGCTTCTTCCTCCTCTCCCTTTTCCCCCTCACTCCCTACACAGTCCACCGCCCGGTCCGCACAACTGCCGGAAATGCAGGCGCTCCACCGCTGGGGGATAAAACCGTTCTATGCGACGTTAAGGAACGACGATGCATTCGGTTCGCGGTAAGGAATCGGATTCGCGACACATGTTTATTTCCCAGGGAAATATCACGCAATATGAAGTTTCATGGTGAGGTTGAAAGTCCCCTGAGGTTGTGCGCGCCTTTAATCGTTTCCCCTCGTTGGGAGTTTTTATTTCAGCGAGGGTGTGCAACGCGCAGTATAATTGAAGTACGAAGTCCAGGGCCATTGCGTTGGCATTGCAGGAGAAGCATTCATTTTAACGGCAGCCGTCGCCTGGCATTGGCCTCGTTTCTCACTAATGTGCTTGCAGATACGTGCTAGAGGAACGATTGAACCATTTCTGCTCGAGAGAAAAGATATAGCGAGTCGAAGTTGAGTCATATGAATTTGTTATTGACGATAGAAAGGTGAATTACATTTTTCACAAGATTCTGATTTATATTATATTTCTTTAACTCGATGACATAAATTACTTCCTGGGTTTAAAAGAACAGAAATAATGAAGAAGAAATGATTGACAAGAAACTTGTAATTCAATAATAAATAACATTGTAAAACTTTAAAAAACTTATTGGATAGACACTTCTAATTGCTTTTTGATTTCTCAGTAAATTCTAATTAAAGTAAATCTATTTTGTCCCCTGTTACTATGTTTTTATTGAGTTATACTTCATAGGAGTATTGAAGGTCGAATATCCGTTCCGTCTGGACGTAATAGGTAACCGTACGGGTGAGATGGATATAAGCTCTAGGAAAAAATTGAATAGATTTTATTATTCACGGAAGACTCAAATTACTTCGTATAAGTTTTGCTGCCAGATGTGAACCATCTAACTTAACATTTTAAAGCATACCATTTTCATACAATAGTTTAATTTGTCAATATTACGAGCAACTTTATTTTGGCTTGTTAAATTTTACATTTATGTCATGTTTGGATTGAGTAACCGTGCCAATTAAGGAATTTTCCTATTTAAATAATAAATATAAAAGCGGCCATATAAGTGGGAAAATATTACATGAATTTAAAAAGATATTTTTGAAACGTTGAACGCTCTTACTGTTATTAAAGCAGTTTTAAAACTAAAATATCAAAATTGAATTCTTATTTTTCAAAAATACGAACAAAATGATTTTGTGACAATTTCATTTCTACATCACATCCATCGCACTAATATTTAACATATTTAACACGAGGGGTGTACGGAAAGTGAAAGTGCATAGGAAAATTGGTTTCCCGCTATGACAAATATCTGAACAATTGTGACAACTATGTAGAAGAAATGCTTCTTAAGTGCTCTTTTATGAAAAATTAATTTTGTTTTGAAAAACAATTTTTTGGGCTTGTTTCAAAACTATTTATTTTTCGTAAGTATTCCTTTTTACTATTATCGTCTCTAATTTTGTATAGCGTTAAGAATTAAGAAAGCCTTCATTTTTTTATTCGACATTTTTTTTTTGAATTGCCTCATATCATCTACTCTGAATTTTCCAAATGTTAAGAGAGGTACTTTGGCAGTTTGAAGATCCATAATTATCTTAATCTAGTCGTACATCAGAAATTTTCCAACTTCATTTTTCGTTCATACGACAGTCTTCTGCCGCGTAATCCTAACCGAAACGCTATTCCCTATTACTACAAATTTTGTAGTAACCTGTATGAACTTACTGCCTCCTCTCCTCGTGTGCCATTGCTCGAGTCTTTCTCATTTGATTGTTTTAAAATAAAAAGAATAATCATATACTCAGTCTTTGTGTGAAGAAAATAATTTACGCAATACTTACGTTGATTAATTATTATTTCATTACAAACGTAGGACTGTATAATTTTAATTTGCAAATCAATTGAAATTTTCTGTTCGAGATTTTTCATGGAGACAACATGCTGCCTTCGCGGAACGTGGGATGACAGAACATGAGATTGGGAATCGCGGATAAACACAGATCTTAACTTTCACCCTGTCTTCTCGCCGGGAATAAATTGAGGAGCGCGCCAGATAATGGGCCAGCGCCGACTTGAGCAAAGTAATTGAACGTCAAGATTTATGCTTCGTCTTTCGCATATCCGAGCATATTGAATCAAAAGGTGCTAGATATCGCGGAACGCGGCTTTTAGTTGAACGAGCTGTATTTCATTTGAAATGGAACAACGGAGTACGTGTAAACGACCCTATTAGTCTCTATTTTGCTCCCACGTCCCATATTTTTGCCCCTTTTTATAAAATGTATGATTGTTAAGTGTCTTCTTACAATAAATACGAAGTTTATTTATAAAAATGGCCTCATGATTTTTTAAATTATTAATTAATTAGTATGTTCCGTCCTAATAATTAATAAATACATTGTTTTTTTCGTTGTTTTTATAATGAAACAAGATATATCCTCTTTTTCGTTACCAGGGCCCGGTAATAAGAATTTTTCTGTTGAAAATTCGCTGATTTCCTGCGCACGATTGCAATACTTTCTGTTCTTATAAGGGCGAGAAAATACAAAGATATTCTCATTGGCTCCTTTCTGGTTGTGCAAAGTTAAACAGAGTAACGGGTTACGTACACAGTTCGGTTACGCTAATGCAGCACGGACACGAGTTGTTGTTCGCCTCTCCGGCACAATTTTCTGAGTGGCGCTTGGCCCGTTGCTGGGGCGGCCGTTGACCGCGCGCGCGTGCTGCAGGTGGTGGTGAACGGGCGGCCGCTGCAGATCGTGTCTGCGGCGCTGGGCGGCGTCAACGTGGACAACTGCCCGCACCCGTGCGCCGCGCAGCCGTGCGGCCGTGGCGGGCAGTGCGTGCCGGAACGCGACTCCTACAGTCAATAATACGAAGTTTATTTATAAAAAATGGCCTCATGATTTTTTAAATTATTAATTATTACGTATGTTCCGTCTAATAATTAATAAATCATTGTTTTTTTCGTTGTTTTTATAATGAAACAAGATATATTCCTCTTTTTCGTTACCAGGGCCCGGTAATGAAGAATTTTTTGTTGAAGAATTAAGCTGATTTCTGCGACGATTGCAATGAACTTTCTGTCACTTATAGGCGAAGAAATACAAGTATTCTCATTGGCTCCTTTTCGGTTGTAGCAAAGTTAATCAAGTAAACGGGTTACGTTTACTACCAGTTCGGTTACGCTAATGCCAGCACGGACACGAGTTGTTGTTCGCCTCTCGGCACAATTCTTCTGAGTGGCGCTTGCCGTTGCTGGGCGGGCCCCGTTGAACCGGGCCGCGCGGTGGCTTGCAGTGTGGTGGTTGAACGGGCGGCCGCCTCGCACATGATCAGCTGTTGTCCTGCGGCGGCTGGGCGGTACGAACGTGGACAACTTGCCCGACACCGTGGCGCCGCAGACTGAGTCACTGAGCAGTGCTCGTGGCGGCTAGTGCGGTGCGGAACGCTGAACTCTAAAGCTGCGGAACTTTGCGGCACGTGGCGGCGCCGCCGACGCTTACGGCACGCCGACGCCCGCAGCTGACGACGACGTCGGCTCCAAGCGGCGCGCGCCGAACGGCCACCTCAGTGCCTCGTGCCCCGCGGCCCGACGCCCCGCGCCGCGCCCCACCCCGCCGCGCTCCGGCACCAGTCGCGGCCTCCACGGCGAAACATCATCCGCGATTCAACGGCCACAGTTACTTGCACTACAGCGACCCGGCAACCCTGCGCAGGTGATAGCTGTCGCATGCTTCTTG